ATAGATGGGTAGAGGACAGGTACATTATAGGTTTGGTAAAATACTAATTGTAGATTACACAGAGTGGATATGGGTGTTTACTATAAAATATTTTCAACTTCACTGTATGCTTGCAAATTTTCATACTGAACTGATACAATGCAGGCAACACCTGGTTCAATTTTGTAACCTCAGAACTTATAATAGGAGCAGGAGCAAATGTGCCCTACGTTGGAATGATGAATGGGTGGATGGGTGGATGGATGGATGGATGGATGGATGGATGGATGGATGGGACAGGTGGGATGGATAAATGAATGGGTGGATGGAAGGGATGAATAAATATAAGAATGAATGAACATGTTTTAGCTAATTTTTAATCAAATCCGCAAACTCCCAATAACCAGATCAGACAGATTCAGAGACAGAATGATGACAAGACGACTGCGATGCCAAGAAGGATCATGTTTCCAAGAAGAGTGAGTGTCATGTGAGGCCATGAACCTTGCAAGACCTTATTCCAAACCGTCGTTTATCAACAGTGACAGGTGTCAAGATGGCAAGACGTCCTGGGAATTTTAATGTGCACCACAGCCCTTCCTGACCCAGTGCCACATTACTGTAAAAACACATGCCTCTCTGAGCAGGAATTCCCACACCACACACTGCAAAGCAGCACATCCAGTAAAAGGCTGCCCTTCCTCCCACGCCACTGTCCAGGGGCAAAAGTACTCCAGGCAATGCGAGGTCACGTGTGCTGGATCTCCGCTTGGCATCTGTGTCAGGAGCTCTCCTCTCACGTCTCACTTACTTCTCATGACAGCCCTGTGCAGAAGACAGGGAGCGCCCACTTCACCGGTGACACACGAAGTGGGGCCCACCACACATGGGTCAGCCTCTGTGCCCCTCCCTGTCTGCCTGGCTGGTAAAATGCTGCGTCCACGCTCTCCCAGGCCACCCACAAATACTCCAAGAGGAGCCCTTGCTGCTCAAAGACACCGTGTGAGGATGAGTCACTGCTGATGAGCGCCGACTCATCAGGCAGCCCTTACAGTCCTTGCAAGCCCATGGAAGTCCCTCTGCAGCAGAGCCCGACCTGCAGGTGGGTGGAGTGAGTGGGGCTCAGACAGAGACCTGGCTTCTAGCGGGAGGGAAACCTCAGCTACCCCTCACCCTGCACGGACTTGCAGTGAGTGTCCAGAGGCCAACTATCCACCGGAGATATGTTTTTGGAAGAGCCCCGGTGGGGGTCGAGGCCATCATGCACTATGGAGGGTCGGGACAGAAGTAAGGTCCAGTCAGTAGCTGTGGGCACATCTGAGCCCCCATGGGAAGATGGCAGGGGGCACTGGGCAGAGCTGAGGCCCCTGCAAATCTGAGGATTCTGGTCCTGGCCTAAACTGCCGTCTTTGGACCTCGGAACAGGAGACAGGAATGGAAGTGAAGCCACACTCAGGTGCTCATTCTGGTCAGGGTGGAGGCAGTGACTGCTGAGGCTGGTGCGAGCGGCACACAGAGAGGACGTCAGGCACGACGGGTGCCTGGTAGGCTGGCTGAGAAGGGCCAAGGGGTACATCTGGGAATGGCCTGCACTCGGCCTGTCAATCTGCAGGGACCAGGTGCCCCCACAGTGGGGCATTAGTAACTCTCTCAGCAAACAGTCCAGGCCTGGAGAACTGATCACACCCCTCCCTGGACCCATCAAGAGTGTAAGCGAGAGGAAGTTGGGGACTGGGGTGTTGAGTGTGTGCACAGCAAAAGCAGGCTCCTGGGTTCACAGGGCTGCCAAAGGGGCACCTGTCATATCCTTAACATCATTTCCGAATGACCATTTGCCAAGACTCAGCAGGGTTCCAAGCACTCTAAGCAGACAGGACTAAGCACTTCTGAAACAGCACCCTCTGCAGGCAGTCCTTTCCTCTTCGGCTCCTTCTAGTAACCGCCTGCAGACCTTCCTGCATCTGCAGCTTGCATACGCGCTGTTCTCTTGAAATCACACCACCTACTAGTTAAGGATCTCCAATAATAAGGCACATCTGTATGCAAAAACCAGTGATGGCAAGCCTTTTATTTATTTTTTATTTTTCTGGTACCGGGAATCGAACTCAGGACCTTGTGGTTGCCAGGCAGGCGCTTGTGCCGCTGAGATATATCCCTGGCCCACGGCAAGCCTTTTAGAGGTTTCAGTGATACAAACAACCCAAGACTTACGCTCTCAAGATACCCTCAGTTTTATTGGTGTAGCATGGCCCTGTGCAGTGGCCCAGTGATGGCTTGTTCCATTTACAAGCAGCTCAATTCTCTTGATGACATAAGTGGCCGGTCCGTCAGCGTGGGCACAGAGGACCTCGTGAACGATACTCCATAAAGGCGGGAGCTCTGGTCGCTGCCATGCCACAGTAAGTCTAGATGGTGTGGAGGAGAATGGTATGTGGAACACACAACACTCATCATCAGCTCAGGGCCACTCTGTGACGTAAATTCACCCCAAACATACCAGTTTTAGAAAGGCTTCTGTGAGAAGACCCGTCACAAAACCACATAAACAGAAAAGCAGCAGCAATCACCAGAGAATGCTCCCCAGAAAGAGGAGATCTGTCCTAGGAACAGAGTTGACCACTGAACACGCTGGTCCACACTTCTGTACACCCCACAGCTCAATAGCTTCCTGGCCACTCACTCAGCTTGGCTTCCCAAGCAGCAGGCACAGGGATCTCAGCATACTGCACATCCCAGGGTACCAGTGGCCCCAGCTCTTCTTGCACCCTTCTCTGCTAGGAGAGCTTGCCTGCTGCCAGCTGCCTGAGCAAAGAGGCTTCCTTTCCCAGCATTCTCAGCAGCTAGGTGTAGTCATGTGACCAGTTACAGCCAATGAGAGAGGTGAATTCTGCTGGGGAATTCTGGGAGGACTATTCACTGTAAAGTCATAAAGTGAGTTCTAGTTAGGTGATGAGGTGACACACAGAATCTGCGAAACCTGTTGAAATCATCAGAAACCTTGCATCTGTGGACTGTGGGACGTGGCGATACCTTCAAAATACATCCATACACCAACCCTTGCACTCTAACTCTAGCCCAACACACTGATCCAAGCCACCAGCCTCCCTGGGTACTGCAGGGGCCTTCTTGCTCTTCCCTGCTTTTGCCTTGGCCCCTTCTAGCCTCTGTACAACACTTGCCAAGATGGTCCTCCACAAACAGCTACACACAGATCGTGCCACTCCTACATCTGAACCCCCAGGGCCTACCCTTGTCCACCTGAGAAATGACCACCATGTGCACCACCTCCCACGAGGTCCTCACCACCCAGTCCTGGTGTCTCCCCTCACCCCACCTCCCAGCACCCACTGCATGGAAGCCCTTCAGCACCATGAAGCACACCCTCTTGCCTGGTCTCTGCACTTGTGCCTTCTGCCGGAACCTGCATGTCCCCTCTGTCACTGTCTTCAGGCAGGGCTCTGCTCACAGGTCACCTTAGTTTTGGCAAAGGGTCTTCCATGGAACATCACAATAATGGGAACGCTTTCGAGCTGAGCTGCCCTTCACATCATCCAAGGGCCACACATGGCTGCTGAGTGCTTGATTGTGACCAGTGCTACTGAGGGATTGTTGAATCTTTGCCATTCTGTTTGATGTTAATTAATTAAATTTCAATATCCACATGTGGTTAGTAGTGACCCTATTGGTGGCTCTGCTCTACAAAACAGCAACTTCCTCCTGCCTCTCCCTACCCAGAACTCCATGTCACCCCTCCCTTACTGTATTATTAATATGCACTGATCACTGCCTAATGCACCATAAATGTCCCTATTCATCTTTTTGCTAGCGCTCTCCTTTCTAAATGTAAAATGATCAGTGAGAAAACACTCTGGGGTGTGTTTGGATTAGTACTGATCAACAGAGCGCCTGGTACAAAGTCTGCATTCAATCAATAGTCCTAGACTGGATTAAAAAAAGAAAAAGAGGAAAGAGGAGACAGAGGTCATTTGAGTCTGTTCAATTTCTTGGATCAAACGTCCCAGTGAAACCCTGTGAGCTTTCAATACTGAGATGAAGACATGGGCTTGCCGACGGTGCAGTCCTGAGCAGATCTCTAGTCAGTGAGCGGTCTTCGTTCAGACTCCAGCTTTGAAACCTCTTACCTGTGTGACCATGGACCACACTGTCCTGTTTTCTGCATTACTAAATTATTGCATGTAAGTTATTTTGCCTGTAAAGTGGAGACGATCATAATATTTATTTAAATGTCATAGAATACCTAGCATTCAAAAGGTTCTCAATGCAATCACTTTTTTGAGGGAAACTTTTACTTTCTGGAAGCCCTGCCTTCTCGTAATCTTTACAGACTTTCACCCAAAGTAGTCAAAGATCCCAAGCATGAACTCTCTAAACAATAAATGCTTATGTTGTTGGAAGAGCAGCTTGTGTGATCAGTTTGTGGGGCTCTTATTTCTACTTTCTTCATTTAGATTTCGAGGAAGACACCTCATTAGCAATTTTAAAATAATTATCACTATAATTCACCTAAACCAGGGCTGCTCTGGCAGTTTAATTTTCAGAATAAAATTACATCAGACCCCAAGAAACTGTTTAGACTTCCTTTCACATTTCAGGTTTGTCAAATTTAAATCTTTCTGTGGACAGGAAATTCACTGCGCCTAGAAACTGAGATCAAAACACACACATTTACACAGACTCTTAAGCCTGTGGTCTAGACTTTCATATACGGATGATCGAAAAATAAAGTTAATGCTTACATTTAAAAAATTACAGTAAAAGATATATTGCCAAGAATGATGGAATAAGTGCTTTAAAATGAGGGGAATTAATGGCAATGTGTCATTTTTTGGAATAATTTTTTTAGATTTGAAGTTCCCTGTATGTTTTGATTCCATCTCATATTTGGTTGATGAGTTTTTTTAATAAAATGCATCATTCTTACCTTTCCAAGTTCCCTGTATGTTTTGATTCCATCTCATATTTGGTTGATGAGTTTTTTTAATAAAATGCATCATTCTTACCTTTCCAAAACTCCCTTTACCAATGGCCCGCAGAATCTGAAAATGGTCGAAGTTGACTGCAAAGGAAAGAGAAGAAAGGAAACAACTCAGGTTTGCCAAACCTCGCGTGGCTTCTTAGGCCCCTTTACCCACGCGCCCACCCCCGACTCCCGTCGCCTCTGGTTTAACCTGCTTTGCATTTGCCGTAGCAGCCCCCCACCCCGAAGAGGTCTGCACGCCACTCAGCACCGTCCACTTCCTCCCCCAGGCATGTTCAACGGCACACAAGGCAAGAGACGTGTTTTGGGGCCGGGAGAGGGACCACTTGGGGGTATAGATTTTAAAATTCTTGTACATGCTGGTCTCTTTCCAGGAAGACTGCTCCATTGCGGGCTCCCTCCCACCCACCTGGTGCTGTCACACCCGGACTGAGGCCCTTGTGAGTCTGTGGCCACCTCTGCTCCCTTCCTGCCTGTCTGTCTCAGCCCTGCCTGGGCACTGGAGGACGAGCCACTGAGCCCACGCCTCCTGATGCCCCGCACTCCTGGAGGGCACGCTCCGCTCTCCTGCTTCCTCAGCCTCACCCTCACCTCCACCCCACTTTGGTCAATGGTGTGCAGTCCTGACACTGACCCTCACGGGCACCCGCCTGGCCTCCTTATCCTGGCCACTGCCTCCTGTGCCACTGCTCCCTTCATACCTCAGACACCCTTGCACACTCAGCCAGACCCTCCCGGCAAGAAGTGCCAGAATCTGCCTCCGCTCCACCTGCCATCTGCCAGCTCTCCAACCTGTGGTCTTTCTCTTCTCGAGGCTGCAGCTCTCTTCTCCAGTTCTCTCAATTTCTCCTCTCCAAAGGCTTCTATCGCATGCCACGACGCCCAAGGTGTTCCCTGCCTCTAGGCTGTGGCCACCCCAGCAATCTTCTTGGACCTATCAAACCCACCCTGAATTCACAGATCCAACGGAAACCAGGATGAGTGGTGGTAACATCCACGCAAATGCACAGGCGCGAATCCTCTAGCTCCACCTGGCCTCCTCCCTCGCCCAACCTGATTCTCAGTCCTTTAGCAGGCACCGCTATTTTGCCTCTTCCACATGTGTGTACCTGAGGCTACCCCGCTCTCACCCATCTTCTTCTGTCACCTGCACCACCACTGTGGTGGCTCACCTGCCTCTTCCAGACTGGGCTGTGTGTGTCAGCAGGACGGCTTTGCTTGTACTCACTCCCCCCCCCCCCCCGTATTCCCAGGTAAAGCAATTCCCCTGCCTCTCCTGCCCCAGTCCTGCACCCACGGCTCCAGCTAGGGTTCTTCCTTGCCTGGGACAGAGGCTCTGCTCCTTGTGCCACTAACGTGTTTCCCTGACCCCTGCACTCCCAGCTCTGCTCCTTTCTCTGTGTCCCCAGAGGCCACCCCTGCCTCCAGCCCCGACCCCAGCCCCCTACTGTACAGTCCCGTGGAACAGCCAGACTTGCTCCAGCTGCATCATTCAGAATAGTTTTACATGCATTTGTGTATTTGATTAGGTTCACTTTTCCCTACCAGACTCCAGGCTCCTGAGGTTAAAGGCTGTGTTTATTTTTTGCTGTTGTTCTCTTAGCACCTCTCAGAGTGCTTACTACACAGTATTCAATAAATACTCATTAACTGAAGGGATGATTGAATGAGCTCATCTCCATATTCATAGTGCCGCACACCACTCCTGCTACATAATAAGTGTTCAGTAAATATTTTTGAATTACATTGAATTAGAGCCAGTTTCCAATAACGAGGAAAGACATGTTATTTACAGAGATGGAGTGAATTGATTAGTTCACTCCATAACGGAGCGGTGATGTGGAGAAGTTGGGGAATACAATTAGCTCCTTGTGTATTAAACTTATGCAATGGAGGATAATTGTGTTGAATTGTATCTCAGTCAAGCCAAAGTCAAAACCCAGAGCTATTCAATGCCCAGCGTGCTCAGAATACAGAGATGGGGTTAATGGTTAACCTAGCAAAAGCCTGGTTCCTTGACCTAGATTGGTTTATTCCCAGAATCACTAGCCAGGAGACGAAATTCCTTACTTTGGCCTCTTATCACTCACCAAAGGTCAAGGAGAAGAAAAAACCAGTGCACTTAGACCAAAGCACTGTAACCACTGGACTGTGAGGAGATGGATGTGTCTCATCAATAAGCCCCAAGGTGCAGAAGACGGGGTCACCTGCCCTCCAGATAGCACAGTGCCTGTCTCCAAAGACCTTGTGCTGCTGCAAGCTTCCACACCTCCGTGCTGCTGTACCCCCTGCCTGGAAGGTGCTCCCCCACACCCCTTATCCTAAGGAAACTCCTCCCTAGCCTTGGACACATCATTGAGGTGCCTGCTGTCTTGTGAAGTTGCCCCCACCCCCAGCACAGCACCTTCTCCTTGGTAGAATAAGTAAGGGAGAACAGGCTAACTGCATGCCAACAGAACTGTGAAAACCCTTGTTCTTCCATGCATAAGAATGAAGAATTCCTTCATCAGGTAGTCAAGTCATTGTCTGTGATAAGAAGCCTGCAGTGGTCAAAGCAGACACAGCCCTTGCTGAGGTCTATATCCCTGGGGAACTAAGTCAGAGGCATTTCCACCAGGCAGTTGGGGCATGGAGGAGAGAACGTAGCCTTGGGCCTTCTGGTTAGCTACTTGGAAAAACTGAGATCAGATTTAAGGCATTCCTTTCACCAGACTCCAAAGTCAACTCCCGGAGCAGTGTGGAGATACTAACATGAAAACCACAAAGCTAACCATGTGATGTGGACATTATCTGATGACTATCAGTCTTTTCCTTCCCTGAGACTCAGAGAGATCATGTCCAGGCCTGGGACTTTGTCTTTCAGCAAGTAATCTAGAGTCTGACCTCGACTCGGCTTTGGCATCTAAGATCAAACCACAGATCAAATCCAAGAGTTTAAAACCTCCATTGAAAGTATATGCAACATATTGAACAAAGGAGAAGATAGGATTTCAGATCTTGAAGACAGAATTACACACAGTGACAAGGAAGAGAAAGATATCTTAAAATTAGCAAGACATCATGTAAAATCAATCCAACAGCTACAAGATAAAGCAAAGAAGAATAACATAAGATTGATTGGGGTCAATGAGAAAGCTGGAGACAGCAGAAATGACATAAAAAAAAAAAACTCTTTAGAGAAATGATGGCAGAAAACTTCCCAAGCATGGATAAAGAATTTGACATATAAATAAATGAAACATTTAGAACTCCTAACATTCCAGACCAAAATAAAACTACACCAAGACATATAATAATCAAGATTCCAGAAATTCAGCACAAGAAAAAAATATTAAAAGCTGTTAGAGAAAAAAAAAAAACAGCTCATCTATAAAGGAAAATCAATCAGAATCATGGTAGACTTCTCAACACAGTCAAGAAGAGCTTGGAGTGAAGTATTTCAAGTCCTGAAAGAAAACAACTTCCAATCCAGACTGATACACCCTGCAAAATTATCTTTCAAAATTAATAGAGAAATAAGATGATTATATGACAAAGAACAGCTGAAGAGATTTATGAACACCAAACCAATGACACAAAGAGCACCAAAAGATATGTTAGAAAGAGATAAAAATGACCACAATGCCAAGAACAACAAAAGAAAGAAACCACCAGGCGAGGCAAGCAATTAAACAGAGGGGAAAAGCAGGGAGTTAACAGCAGGAAAGTACCATGACTAAGATAAGCCAATAAATATCAGTTATAACCATTAATGTAAATGGCCTAACCTCATCAATCAAAAGAAACAGAGTGGATCAAGAAAAAAGATCCAACAATTTGCTGTATACAAGAAACACATTTAACACAAAAAGAAATTCATAGACTGAAAATCAAAGGATGGAAAACAATCTTCCATGCAACAGGAACCCAGAAAAAAGCAGAAGTAGCTATTCTTTTTGCAGACAATGTCAACTTCAAACCAAGGATGATTAAAAGGGATAAAGAAGGTCACTGCATACTTGTTAGTGGAAAACTTCAAGAGGAAGAGATAACAATCATAAATATATATGCACCAAATACTGCAGCACCAAACTATATAAGACAATTATCAACAGACATGAAAAGTCAAATAAGCAAGAGCACAATTTTAATGGGAGATTTCAATACCTCATTGTCACAAAGAAATAGATCAACTAGACAAAAAAATTAGCAAAGAAATAACAGAACTGGACCAAATCTGTGAACAAATGGACTTGGTAGACATTTACAGAGTGTTTCATCCCACAATATCAGAATACACATTCTTCTTAGCTGCCCACGGGACGTTCCCTAAAATAGACCACATACTAGCTCATAGAACCTACTTAACTAAATGCAAAGGAATTGAAATTATCCCATGCATATTATCTGACCCTAGTGCAATGAAATTGAAAATTAATGACAAAGGAACCACAAAAATCCCCAAAATACATGGAAATTAAATAACAACCTACTGAATAACCAATGGGTCACAGATAAAATTAAAAAAGAAATTTAAAAGTATCGACAAACAAATGAAAATGTAAATACAACTTACCAGAATCTGTGAGATGCCCTGAAAGAAGTCCTCAGAGCGAAGTTTATAACAGTGAACTCATACATCAGGAAAACAGAATAAGAACAAATCAATAGCCTAATGTTGCACCTCAAACTTTTAGAAAAAGAAGAACAAGTCAAGCCCAAAGCCCAAAGAAAGGAGGAAATTATAAAGCTCAGGGCAGAAATTAATGCAATTAAGACTAAGAAAACACTACAAAGAATCAATAAATGAAAGAGTTGGTTCTTGGAAAGAATAAATAAGATTGATAAACCCCTAGCCAATCTTATCAAAAAAGGAAAGAAAAAACTGTAATTCATGCAATAAGGAATGAAAAGGGTGAAATCATTACAGATCTTATAGAAATTCAGAAGATCATCAATACCTACTTTGAAAATCTTTACTCCCATAGGATAGAAAACACAGAAAAAATGAACAGATTCCTAGATACTTGTGAATTACCAAAGTTGAATCAAGAAGATATAAAAATTCTGAATAACCCATTACCAATTAAT